AACTGAGATTAAGAAAGCTTCTATAATGTAACAACGGTTTAAATCTTAACCTCAGTTGACAGTTGGCTTTGCAGGTTTGCTTCAAGAAGGAAACATAAGTAATACTGTCCCTTCTGTCCTCCCTCCTCAGGGGCAACTGCTGTCATGAATTGAATGCATATTCCTCCAGTCTGAGGAGTTTTTTAGTGGGCTTTTTATTGCTGTTGTGTTCTTATATATATTTTTGTGTATCTGAATAACATATTTTCTGTGTTTTAAAATTTATATAAACAGTATCATAGTCCAATGTGTATTTTAAACATTTTGTTTATAAATATGTATTGTTGAACCTTTATACAAGACAGTAAGGGGTACAAATCTTAACTTTTTAGTTAAAATTTTATCTTTTTTTCCCTGTTAATTAACTTCGCCCATTTTTCCTAAATACATGTTGCATTTTTTCTTTCAGAATCCTTGAAAAATGGCTCTGCTACAGATGGTGGGAATAAAGTGTATTCTTTTCAGAATAGAAAACACCCTGAAAAGATGGCTAAATTAGGTATGTTGCTTTTCCGATTTCTGTAATCACTTTAGCTTTTTTTTTATTAAGTGGAGGTTCTGGGGATTGAACCCAGAACCTTGTGTGTGCTAAGCATGTGCTCTACCACTGAGCTAAACTTTTCCCCCTGATTTCTGTAATTACTACTCACCCTTTCTCAGAAGGTATATTAACCACATTTCCCCCAGTTACCACCTCATTGCATTCACTAAAAAGAATGATGAGGTAAACAGCAAGTTTATTCTACATAGCACAGGGAACTATATTCAATATCTTATAGTAACTTATGGTGAAAGAGAATATGAAAATGAATATATGTATGTTCCTATATGACTGAATTATTGTGCTCTACACCAGAAATTGACACAACATTGTAAACTGACTATACTTCAATAGAGATTTTTTTAAAAAGCTAAAAGAATGATGAGGGATGTTATTTTATATCATATAATATATTGAGCATACTTTATTATAGACAGTAGTTTTTTTCATGCTCAGATGTCTCCTGTTCTTAGCTAGGTTATAAGCTTCTCATAGTAGAAACTGTCTTTAATTTCTTCCCACAATATCTAGCATAGCTTCTTAACTAATTTTTGTTAAATAAATGAGTGATATAAGTCACACAGATATTCTGAATTTATTAAATAAGAGTTTTATACTTATAGACATAGAACAAAAGTATTTGTATTATAGAAAACTATATAAATTGTTAGGAATCAGTTGTTAATAACATTTTTCTTACCCAAGTTACCACTTATACTAATTACATATGAATTCCTGATTTTCAGAGGACTAGACTTAAATAAATTACATAGAACATTAAAATTAAACTGGCAATTTAATTCCTTTATAAAATTCAGATGGCACTATATTTGGACCCTGTGGTATAGAAGCATCATCACTTTTGAAAGCTTGAGGAAAGGAAATAACATGTGAAACACTTTAAAAATTAAGTAGATCCACAAGTATATGAAAGCTTGGGAATACCAAAAAAGTTAAGAGCAAGGGAATAATAATTAACTACCTGGTAAAATGTAATTGTTGTGTAAGAGGACTTTTAATCTATAATTATAGAACATCTATATGTATTTCTTAAGTGGTGTATTTTTGTGCAATCTTTCTAGCCAATGATCATGTAAACATTCAAGGCAGAGTGAAAATCACCCTTATTAAATATTGACACTGATGAGGGACATATAAGAAGTAATTATGAAACCTGTATTTCTGAACATAATATAATTTAATCATTTGCAAAAGCCACTTTTTCTGAAAGGTATATTATATGCATTGTTAATTTTGAACCTAACATGGTACATACAATAATTTACATTAGTTGATGTGTTTCTTAGTGTTAGTGTCTACATCAAGAAATTAAAAGGTTTTTTTTAACCTGTTAAAGGTATATATATGTATATATATATATATATATATGCACATACATATATTTTTTTATATATATATATATTTTTTTTTTGGTCTCTTTACAGCTTCAGAACTAGCAAAAACACCAAAAAAAAAATGTCTCATTCAATTTGAAGAATGATCCTGAAATTATGATAGACATTCCTCAATGTAGCAAAGGTAAGATTTTTATCTCAGTTGTTTGAAGAGAGTTTTCATAGTCACTTCAAGTTACAGAATGTGATTTTTTTTTTACTAAGTGCATTTTTGTATGTATTTTTTCTGTTCTGAAAATTCATTCAACCAGTGCAGTTAATACCCTAACCTGTGTACTTCAGTATATACATATTTAGCTGTCAATAAAAGGAAAAAATACCTGTGCTGGTTGAAGCTGTACAAATTGACAGGGCCAATTAGAAGCAGTCTTAAAATCCTGTTGTCATTTGCTTGAGTAGCCAAATGTGCATGGAAGATTTGCTTTGGCAAATACTACTTGAAATAAGGCTTTTGAGGTTTGGAATTCTTAGTTTGTGGAGAATTGTGGAGTAGTTGTTTCTGAATGACCCATTCCAAGTAGATTAAACAGTGTACTTTTTAAATAATAAGCAATGAAAAAGACTGCACTTTTTCTTGTTACATGAATGCTATGGAAATGTAGGACGTAGCTGTCACTAATGGGAGTAATCATAAAATGAATAGTGACCTTTTGGCCTGTAGTGGAGATGCAATTAATTGAGAATTCAATAATATGTAGTGGTTTCTGGGTAGAAACTGCGACTCTGCTTTTAATGAAACTAGGCTGTGATGAAAAATGTAGTAATGGTTTTTTGTTTCATTTTTTAGGGCATTCTGCTTCAGACAAAGTTCAGTTGAAGGTAAGCAGTTGACTAAAAACAAACAAAAACCTTAGTGTTACAAAGTAAGACATGATGTAAATTTTCCATTTCATCTCTTTGGGTAGTATTTTACAGGTATTTGCCCATTAAATACTTTACTCATAGATGAAGAATCTGAGGTTCAGAGAGGTGAAGTGTCTTGTCTAAGTTCACCAAACTAGGAAGGAGAAAAGCTGGAAAATGAAGCCAGGTTCTTCTGGATCCAACTGTCACACCTTTTCTGTGCAGGAACTATTCCTGGGTATTTTTAGCTTGGCCTGGAAATGTTATGCGTTGGCTTGGTTTTTCTTTTGTATATAATGTTCTTTTGTTTCTTGGGAGATTGATCCCAAGATCTATTAAATCCATTAATCTATCGTTTTATAATTTACACTTGAAAACTAAGTTGGCTTTGGTAAATTCATTCCATGGTAGGTGACAATAATTGACAAGTTTATCCTCTCCTTTGTGTTTTTGTGGTTTTGTTTTTTCATTATACATTGTCACGTGGCCATGCCTGGATGGGGGCAAGCCCAGATGGGCATGGATGAATCCAGGACAATGAGTATGCAAGTGGTGAGTGTGTCCAGGCCTGGTGGCTGTAGATTTAGACATGCCTGGACTTGTGTACAGGTTAAATTGAGGAAACCCCTCATAATAATGTGAGTATAGACATTCAAGGCCATGTGCAGGAGTGTCCTATTTAGGCAAGTCCAGGTATGGGATTAGACATGTCAGAGCTTCCCTTGTCTTTAATAATGTTTTTTTCCCATGTTATATCTTGTATATTGCACCACTATAAAAGGAAAAAACTTTCCCATAATCCAGTCAAGAATTTAGATATATTAGCGCATTCTTTTTCAAGTTGTGGATTACAACACATTAGTTAATCTTGTTGGTTCCCTAAGAGACTATCAGAAAACCTGTTAATCAGTGGTATTATACCTACCATGAAAAGAGAGAACGCCACTCTGAGAAAGTCTCAGTGCATTGTCTTAGAAGGGGGAGTTCAGGAAAGAACATGTGTAGGGCTTGGGGATTTGGACTTGAGGGATTTAAGGCACATCTATCAAGATGGGGAACTGATTTGTATTAGACAAAATTCATGACATGGTGTTTTAGGAGTAGTGGACATACTGAGGAGAGGGTCTTGAACTGAATTTTGGTAAGTAAATCAATATTTGATAAGCAAACTGTTGGCTCTGGTGACTAATCTACTGCCCTGATGGTAGAACACGTTCCCCAAATGAGCAAACTGTCAAGATAAATTAGTTTGCAGAAATATCAGTAGCAAACAGTGACGTTATTAGTTGATAGCCTTGTCTTTTTGAGCAAGAATTTTCTGAAATGGTTATTTTGACACAAATAGTCTCAGACCTGATAATTAAGCTCTATGGATATAGGTTGTCTCAACTCTCAATCTTTTTATTTGTTTGTTTTGTTTTGGGGGGGTAATTAGGTTTACTAATTTATTTTTATTTAGCAGAGGTACTAGCTAGGGATCAAACCCATGACCTCATGCATGCTAAATGTGCACTCTACCACTGAGCTATACTGTCCCCCTTCAACTTTCAATCTTGAAATCAGTTTAGTATGACATGATCTACAGTTTTAAAAGTGAAATTGTATAAGCATTATTTTATTATAATTTGTTTCAATTGTATAGGCACATGTGTACTGGATCAAAGTAGCAAAATATTAAAAAAGAATTTTGGGGATCTGGATCAAAAAAGTTTGAAATATACTGTTATATACCTTATAAACCCGTTGGGATCAGCTCCATTCTTATAATACTCTTCTTAATACCCCAAATCAAAATTTAGTTAGTTATATTTGTAACTAGCACCAACAACCTATCACAAGACAACAGACTTAAAATTTTTGTCCTATTTTCACTTTGCCAAAAGAAAAAAAAAATGGTACTTTATTTATCAGTACCATTGAAAGTTAACATGTATACAACAGTGGGCATCTTAGTGTGCTAGGAATTAAATGGTGGTAAAATATTATGTTCTGTGAGGAAAAGAAAAACATACTTTATACCTCTATAAAATGTTAAAAAATTTACAAGTACAGGGGGAGGGTATAGCTCATGTGGTAGAGCACATGCTTAGCATGCATGAGGTACTGGGTTCAATCCCACTACCTCCTCTAAAAATAAATAAACCTAATTACCTCCCCCACTCCTGCCAAAATAAAATAACTAAATAATACAATGATAAATATAGAAAAATTTAAAAATTCAGAAGTAAAAAGTAAAAATCTCTGTGTATAAATTCTGTAAGGAGGGGAGAAAAAGAGATTTCTACTTTTTACTTCTGTATTTTTACATTTTTAAACATTTTACAAAAGTATAAAGTATGTTTTTCTTTATAAAAAAATACATTCTGTTAATATGATGGTGAAGAGTGGTAGATAAAATTATGTTTTTTCTTGACAGAATAATAGAAGTACATACTTCACAGATGTCTAGAATACAGCTTCTAGAATCACTCTACGAATCCCTTGGAGTTTTGTCTTACCATTTTTGTTGTTATATTCTATTTTTTTCCCCAACGAATTCATTTGTTGTCTTGTAGGACATAGGTTCATCTAGTGCTAATGTTACCTATTGAAAACAAAATGTCTTTCTTCTTTTCTAGCCTTTCACTCAGATCTGTCATTAATTTCCATGTCATTATTATTGGACTATTTAAACTATTAATTGCTTTTTTCTTTTTAAACAGAACAATGATAAAAGTGAATTTCTGTCAACAGCACCTTGTGGGCTACGGAAAAGATTAATAGGTGTGTATTTCTTTTTACACTGATTTTTAATAAAGAAAGATAGATCTAAACAAGGGCAGTAATGGTTAAGTATAGAGGTTTTAGTCTTGGAATGCTTGTTTTTCTCTTTGGCCTGCCACTTACAGGGACCTGTGTCTCAGGTGTTTCATTTGCAGAATAGGGATAATAATGGTACCAGCCTCAGAGCTGTTTTGAGATTAACTGAAGTAAAGGATGTCAGAAGTGCTTAGTGTAGTGCTTGACCTTGATATTTGCTTAACGGGTGTTAGCTATTATTATCTTTTATTAATATAACTACTTATTGCTATTTCTTTTCATGAAAAAAAGGATTTGTTCATGTCCTCAGTTAGACTGTAGATTCCTTAAGGGCAAGGACCGTAATATTTTAACTTTAACACTTAGCACTGCCTTTCACATTAAAATCAATAGATACTGAGTTTAGTTAAAATGTCTCTCCAATAAAATAACATGCCTTTTAGTATATTTGCTTTGAGACAGTTTGGGAAGTGGTTCTATTGATTTAGAAATTTTATATTGAAATAATTTTAAATATTCACAGCTGTACTGAATGTTATACAAAGCCAAGTAAACAGACATGGGTCCCACTTTCAGGGAAATTAAAAATGATTTTGGGTTTTTAAATATTTAACTTTGGAGCAAATGACTTTGTTGACCTTTATATTTCAGGATTTCAACTCCTTTCTTAGGGTTGACCCCTTGACAGTAATATTAGCTAATACCGTCAAATTGATGCTATACCCCTTCTCTTTTCAAGGGTAGAGTTGATAATACTACATTTTTATCAACATAAAAATGATAATACTAAGTGATTGGATATGTGAAGCTATAAGAGATGATATATGCAGTTACGATTATTATTTTGTCAGATACATCCCACCTCCTAAGTTTACTCCATACCCCGCAGAAGAATCCTTCTTCAGAGAGGAGGTGAACTTCCTCTTCCTTCTCAATCACCACCAAACAAATATACCTACATGTGTGATGTATACATGTAAATAGGGTAAAGATGTTTTCTGGCACCTCCTACCACTTCTAACCCATGCATCTACCATGGGCAGCAATCAATGGAAATCTGAATCTGCTAAGCTATAATATATGTCCACAAAATCAGGCATTTTTTTTCCTTCTTTTTTTTTTAGTATTATATTTGTTATATGCTGACTCTAGATATTCTGAAATATATCTATTGTTGAAAATAGTGATTTGCTTAAAGTTATTTCATTCATATTTTGGAAGTTAATCTTTTATAATAGTTTTATACTTACTGAGTGTAACACTAATTTTATCCTTAATGATTATAAAACTAGCTTTATTATTTCTGGAGGGTGGTGAGGGTGGCCATGGTTTGTTTAAAAATATAATTCTTATATCAACTCTGGATGGATTCTGCCTGTGTATTGGTAGTACTTATAACTATCCTTTATCAAGTGCTATGTCAGTTAGGATGGCATTTTCAGTAGGAAGCAATGGAAAATTCTACAATAATGGCTTAAGCCATAGACACTGAAGTATCTCATAAAGAAATCTAGAGATACACAGTTCCCTGGTTGACGTGGTGACTTAACAGTCTTGAAGGATCCAGTTTCTTCCTATCTTTCTGCTTTGCCACTGGCATCATGATCTTTAGGCTTGATATTTTATACTGCAAAATGGCTTCCATAGCATTACGCCGTGGGTGTAAGTAAGGGGCTTTTCTTCTGTAAGTGAGAAACATCTTTCCCAGAAGTTTCCGGCAAATTTACCCTGAAGTTTCATTGGTTAAAGGGTTACATAGCCAACCCTAGTTGCAAAGGGGGCTGAGAGAGCACATATCTGGCAAAGGAGAAAAGACAACTAAATTACCATGATTGTTTATCCCACAGGGTGGAGCACACTGCCAGATTTTACAAAGAGTTCTATTAGCAAGGAAGAAGGAAAGCGTTCCTATGTGTCAGGCATTGTTAGTTGCTTTACGTGTATTTCAGTGTCATCTTCACAATGGTTTTTTAAATTAAGTACTGTTAGCCTCATCTGATAAGTGAGGAAACTGGTGCTCAGAAAACTTACATAACTAGCTCAGGTGAAATCATCATTAAGTAGTGACGAAACCAGAAGTCCCAGTCTCTTACTTCAGAGCCCACACTCTTCCTTTAACCCCACAATGTCTCTCTTGTCAAACTGTCCAACTTTCCCAATTGCTTGTTTCCCCCACAGTTCCAAGGTCTCATTCTGACAGTGAAAGTGAATATTCTGCTTCCAACTCAGAGGACGATGAAGGGGCTTCACAAGAATATGAAGAGGACACTAATGAAGTCATACTGAGTGAAAAGATTCAAGCTCAGAATAGAGTAGCTTCAGCTCCTGTTTGCAAAGAAACACCATCCAAGAAAATGAAAAGAGATAAAACAGTAAGTGGAGAGAGAGACTTCAACCTTAAAGAAAAATGATGTAATATCTCAAAGATAAGCTACCTGAGCGAAAAGATCCAAATGGAGGATCAACATATTTTTTTTTCTTCATTTTTCTGCATTTTTGCAGCGTTTCACATACATTCTCATATATTGTCTATTTCTGGACTTTGTGTCCTGGCCTGTCTGCATCCATATTCATTTATCAGTACCATAACATGTGCTGAAGGTGACAATTCAGTTGGATAAAAATGAGCTTTTAAGTAAAGATTGATTGGATAATAGGAGGCAAGACTTCTCAGTACATACTTTTTTATATACTTTCATTTTTGTAACATGTTGATGTGTGCAAGTCAGTGTAAGTAATAAATGATGTGGCTGTGGATCCACGCTGAGTTGTTTGGAAGAACACTGCAGACACCTTGGCCTGAGAATAGGCTCAGGACCCTGGCATTCTCTGTAAAGACGCAGAGCAGTTCAGGAAGCCTGCCGCTTGAATGGCTTTCCATTCCTTGCTTTCCACCATGGAGTCAGTCCTGCCCAACAGTAGAACATGAGGGAGTCATTTTACTGGTATAGTAGGTGAGTCTTCTTTTCCCTCACTGTTGCTGTCTCTCTCATGTTCACAGTTCCTTAGCTGTGCTAATATTAAAGGATTTGTCAAGACTGTGTGAGGCAAAACAAAGGTCCTGATATCTAAATGGGAATTATATGTTGGAATTTAGGAATCATTTTTGGGAACAGTCTGCTTCAATCTAGTCATTTCTTTAACTTTATGGTCCTAAAAGTTGTTTCAAAAAGAAAATGCTGACTACCAAATACAGAATTTCACATATCCTATTTTTTTTGCTAATATTACTGTCTAGTTTTGATATAAAGCAAGTATCTGAAACTAAGAACTGACATTGCTTTGTCCCCTTTTAGAGTGACTTAGTAGAAGAGTATTTTGAAGCCCACAGCAGTTCAAAAGTTTTAACCTCTGACAGAACACTGCAAAAACTAAAGCGAGCTAAACTGGATCAGGTATGTTGCAAGGAATGTTACTTCTAAACGTTCTTATTGTGAGCTGAAAAATATACTACGTAAGCACCAAATCTAAAGAGTAAGTATACACAGACAGCATTAATGTCCCAATAAAATGGAACACAGATTAATGTCATGTAACTATTACATATTTTATTATGTACATGGTAGACAGTTCACTGGATTAGAATTCTGTTTGACATACTATAAGTATACATTTTTTCTCTTATTACTTTATCATTTCTTCAGCATCTATAATAATCGTCAGGGTCATAGTTTCTTTCCTGTCTGTGTACCATTAATCTCTGTTCTTCATTTAACTCACATATTCACTGAACCTCACACTAGTCCTAAAGCAAAGACTGTGACCCGACTCAGTTACAAACTTTGCAAAAAGCAGAGGGTATTCTGCTTCTTGATATTATGGAAAGTCTGTCCAGTGTAATAAGGTAACAAGGTTACTATATACTATAGTCCTGGTGCGTCATTTTATAATGAATACCATATAGTTATGCTCAGGGCTTTGATACCTCCCTAGGAGAGGACACAGAACCATCTGAATAAGAAAATTTTGTATTAGAAAGTGGGCTGGATAATTTAAGTCAAGAAGAAGAGTTGGTTGTTGGTTCAAGGAGTAGCAAGATTTTTTATTCTCTGCAAACTAGAATTCAGTGCAGTTTTCTAAGGTGCACAGACAAGGCTTTTGACAGAGTTTTCAAGCTACAGAAGAGAAGAGAATATGGGGTAAGCCTCTATGTCCTGAATGGCCTGGTGTTTTGTGGTTGGGGTTTTTTATTTTATTTTCTGTAGGTTTTTGTTTTCTGTTTTTTTCCCCTCCTGGCTCATTGGTAATACAACTCAGATCATAGACTAGGTGAAAACATGTATCAACAAACCAAGTTGTTCCAAGGAAGAAATGGCACTAACATGTGTTTAGTGCTTATATTTTCATATAAGCAACATGGGGGAAGGATAAATGGATCTGTGGTCAAAATAGGACTTCATAGGACCTAGAGACTAAAAGATCTCTCAGTGGCTGAATGGAACACCTGTTATCGATAATGAGGGAAAGGAAGTTCTTTCTTTGATTGTGGACATTGCTAATGGATACAGTCTCAGTAGCATGTGTAAGTTATTTATTTCTCATATCTGTGGGTCAGCTTGGGTGGGGGAGTTGGCTGATCTAGGCTTTGCTCCATGTCTCTTTTCCTTGTTGGATCTCCTTGGAAGGCTAGCAGAGGCATGTTCTTCTCAAGACAATATCAGAGATATAAGAGAATAAGTGGAAAAACACAAGACCTCTTGAAGCCTGGGCTCAAAACTGGCTCACTGTCACATCTCCCTCATTCTAGTAGCCACACTAAATCACATGGCTGAAAACAAAGTCAAAGAGCAGGGAACTGGACTCCACCTGTTCAGTGGGAAGGATTACAAAGTCAGGGTAAAGGGTAAGGATGTAAGGGGGGGCAAGTACTGGGGCCAGTAGTGTGATCCTGCACTGATACTAAAGCCTGAAATGAAGGCTCATAGGTAAGATAACATTTCAGAGTTCATGCTAAGTGTGAATATGCTCTGATACTTCGGAATAAATGGCTACTACAAAAAGTGAGCTGTGTTTGATTCACCAGCGAGCGTGAATTTCCAAGTTCTAGGTGCAGAACAATTTACCTTCCTTAGTTTATTTACATTACTATTTTTAAAACTTTACCATACTTATCAAAGATAAAGGATTTGTTAGAAATAGCTTTTGGCAGTCCCACTCCTGGGCATTTATCTGGTGAAAACTATAATTCAAAAAGACACATGCACCCCAGTGTTCATAGCAGCACTGTTCACAATAGCCAAGACACGGAAACAATCTAAATGTCCATCAACAGATGAATGGATAAAGACACACACACACACACACACACACACACACACACACACGCGCGAGTATTACTCAGCCATAAAAAAGAATGAAGTAATGCTATTTGCAGCAACATGGATGAACTTAGAGATTATCATATTAAGTGAAATAAGTCAGAGAAAGAGAAATATATGATACCACCTATATGTGGAATCTAAAAAAAATAAGAATTTTATTTACAAATTAGAAATAAACTCACGGACATAGAAAACAAACTCTGGTTACCAAAGGGGAAAAGTGGAGACAGATAAATTAGGAGTTTGGGCCTAACAGATACACAATACTATGTATAACATAGATAAACAACAAGGACCCACTCTACAGCACAAGGAACTGTATTCAATTTCTTGTCATAAATTATAGTGGAAAAGAATCTGAATATATATATATTCTCTGCAAACTAGAATTCAGTGCAGAATATATATATATTCTGAACTGCTTTGCTGTATACCTGAAACTGACATTGTAAATCAACTACACTTCAATAAAAAAATAAAAGAAATAGCTTTTGGAAGAGGAGCAGTGAATTTTACTGATGATAATAATAAATTATAAAAAAAACTTTAATATTTTCTGAGAATTAATATTGAACTCTTACCTTAAACTTTTACATTTTTCAAATCCATATGTTTTTAAAAGTCTGGATTTGTTGTCAAAGCTGGGAGGCAGGTTTAATCATCTCCTTATGGTAGCAATCTTTTTAGAAATTAAAGCCTTATGTTTGAAATTTATAATCACTGTAAGTGGTTCTAGACAAAACTTAGTAAATTGTTTCCTGTTTTACATATTTGTATTAAAAGGAACATTTAAAATATTTTAAGAAGACATTTAAATCGCGTTTGAAGTATTATGTGTATTCAGTTGATGCAGTCATTACTGAACCTGATTAAAGTAATATGCCCATTAATGACCTCTTCTAACCTCTGCCTCTGAGGAAACATTTTTAGTTTGGATTGATTTGATGTATGTGGCTTGAGAGTGATTTTCTTCCCTCCCTCTTCCTTTTCTTTAAAGCAAACTTTGCGTAACTTATTGAGCAAGGTTTCTCCTTCCTTTTCTGCTGAACTTAAACAACTAAATCAACAATACGAACAATTATTTCATAAATGGATGTTGCAGTTACAGTAAGTACTGTTGTCATTGCAAACCCTTATAAAATAAAGAATAATATATATTTATATAGTCTTAAATTAAAAGCAAAGCAATGTGACATTTAATTTTCTTTTTGCAGTGAACTTGATATGCATTTTTATTTATATATAAAATCTGAAAAATAGGTGTTTTCCCAGTTTTATTATGCAAATGTAGAAATGTAATATTGTTATATGACTCTTTTTAGAAGTTCCAGTTTTCAAGAAATTTGTCTTTTCTAAGTTTATCAAATTTGAAAGCTATCGGTAAAACAGCCTTTCTTAGAATGATAGTTAATTACTGATAAAAATATTTGAAAATATAATTTGCCAAGATTGATAAATATGTCAATTAGATTTTAATCCAGTTTTTCAAAGCAAAGTTCCTAAAATGAAATATATTTTCTTTTCTCTTAATCTCATTATATACATATACTATAGACCTTCAGAATTTCGTATCTGTTCTTATAAACATTATTTTACCATTTAAAAATTATTTCTTAGAATATTTTTTCAATTTTATCATTTTTCACATACCTTAGGTTAAATTTTAAATTTTCATTAAAATACCTAGAAGAACAATTAAAATTAAGTTTTTTTACTATAATTACTTTCATACTTGTATTAAAAAGGACCTTAGTATAAAGAAGTGCTTAAAGTTTATGTTAAAATGTGAATGTCCAGTAAATACATAGGAACTGCCACAGTTTTCCCCGATTGATCCTGGTTTTCTTTTGCCAATAATACATCAAAGGATTATGCTAGTAGGAGAATGATGATCTTCCCTATTAGGACCTCTGCTTCTCTCAATCATCATTTATGGATCTGTTCATTATGAGTGTTTTTAAGGTAGATCTTCACTCTGATCCCATCCCCCAGTTCACCAAGTCTTCCTTCTTCCCGGATGTCAGCTTCGATAGCTGGATTTGCTTTACTTCTCAGCCCAGACCTCATAGTCAGCTCCTTCAATAGAATTGCTAGTTCTCTGAACTCCCTTGCTTTTTTTCTGTTGCTTCTGCCTTGCTAATCTCGGCCTTTGGGGGTTATCTCTTTTCTGTTTTTCTATTTCTATGCTATCCTGCATTGCTACAGAGCATTACACCAGCAATGTTTCTGACTGGCCTCCGTACACAATGATGGAGTTGAACTTCAGCTTGACCCCTAGTGCTTGGTGTTCTGGGTCATCTCATTCACTCTCTTGTCTTCAGCTGCTTTTTGTATGTGAATAGCTCCCATAACTGTATCTGTTGCTCAGCCAGATCTCACTCCTCAGCAGCAGACATGAATGTATATTGGAAGTTTCCATACGGATGTCCTATAAATAATTCAATATACATAAAATTTAACTCATCTTAAACCCATCATTCCCACCTGCCCCTACTACCTAGTGTAATGTCACCCCCTTCATGTAGTTGCCTATGCCAAAAAACTGAGCCACTCTTAATATTCCCTCCCCCTTCCCTTCCATATCTAATCATTCTCCAAATCCAACTGATTTGACCTATAAAGGTCTTGACACCTTACATTTTTCTCCATGACACCTAATTCTAGTCCGTAGTCTTTGTGGTTTTGCTCTCCTTATCCATTCCCCGACTCAGCCAGTGTAATCTTTCTAAAAAGATTATATTACTTTCCTACTTAAAACTTTTCAGTTAACACCCATTACTTTTCAGTGTCGTATTCCTTAGAATAAAATCCAATTAGTGCCTTAGTTGACTTAACAAGACCTTTGTGACCTGGCCCCTGCTTACTTTTCCATTTTAATCTATCAATTAAAACTACTTCAGCCTCTAAAACGTTTTAGTGCCTTGTACCTACCATGTTCTCCCTTGCCTCCAGGCATCTGTCACTTGAAAGGTAATAGGAGCTGGGGAGAAAGCTGCTGAAAATTGGAACTATAAGCTTGGTGTACAGATAATAAAATTGTGTTTTTTGCTTTATATATAAGCTGGGAATCAGTATAGTTAGTCATCCCCATTCTTCCTGTATTTTTTATAAGCTCAAATTAAGGAAACTGATTGATTATAAAATTCATAGTAAGAAGTACTGAACTTTAATTAATTTAATAAGAAAGTGTTATCTTTCTTACAGCCTGGGGTTCAACATTGTGCTTTACGGTTTGGGTTCTAAGAGAAATTTACTAGAAAGATTTCGAACCACCATGCTGCAAGATTGCCTTCATGTTGTCATCAATGGCTTCTTTCCTGGAATCAGTGTGAAATCAGTAAGTTTTAAAAATGTTAAAAGAAACAACATCATATCCACTGCCAACCCACACCCCCATGTTAATGACGATGCTGTTTCATATTCTGGAGCGTCCAGTTTTTGTTTTTAGCCTTCACAATAGGAGGACTGCATAGTGCTTAAGATCATGTGTTTGGACTAAGAGGGTTCTAACTTTGAATCCCCATCCTTGGATTTCCTTTTTGGTGACTGATAATGTATTAAATCTTAGGGAAATGTTAACTTTGTTTATAACACCGAATATCAACAGTACTTCTCTGAAAGACAGAACTATGGGGCACTTCAATTTTATTATACTTTTTTGTCACTTTCATACTCTAAAAATAATAAAAATATAAGTAATAGTTTATAGTTCTTTTTAAAAATGTCCTTAATGTTTGTGTTCTCTTTCCTCTGATAAATCTGCAGCGTTTAATATCTCATGTTGTAGGGGGGTGGGGTGGTTTGTTTGTTTTTACTACCTGCTTGTATTATTTTTACATCTTTGCTATTTCTTCCATTTCCTTTTAGCCATAACTTATACAAAAATGTGAATTAGATATATTTAAGTACCAGTTGAATTTTTGAAGTGATTTTTCAGACTTTTGGTGGGAAATCCAAATTCATTTTTAATTTATAAGGAAAGAATTGATCTGCTAGTTGTATTCATCCTACATGACAGAGTAAGTTATAATTGATAAACCTCTTGCGCTTTTATGACATAGATCCTGAATTCTATAACAGAAGAAGTCCTCGATCATATGGGTACTTTCCGCAGTGTACTGGATCAGCTAGACTGGATAATAAACAAATTTAAAGAAGGTAACATGAAATAGATGCTCTGGTCTTAGGGTGTAGCTAAGCATACACTTCTACTTATTTGTGTACTAGTATACACAAAAATGAGGATTATTTTAATAATGGCACTCTTCTCAGTGCTGATTTAGATTTAGATTTCTTTAAAATACTTTGTCCATTTTCTGTGAACTTCACTTACCTAACAGGAAAGAATTTCTCCCACTACGTTGAACTTAGCCAAAAGCCTCTTATTTCAGAATAATTTTCAAGTTTTCTTTGGCCACTGTGAAGTGCCTCCAGTTAATTGGTACATCTTTGTCTGATATTTTTATATTGTTTAATATGTTTATAAAGCATACTTACATCTTTATCCTGAGTAAACATCAATGCATTTGAATAATTTCATATTCTAAAATCTGTGGAATGAGGAAAAACATTTGTTATTCTTTTGTTGTGAATGTTTTGTTTATATGCGTATTTCAGAAAATTAGAAATAAAATTAATTAGGTTCCAACAGTTGGCAATTAGTCACTGCTTAAGAATTAAATGGGGGAGGAGGATATACCTCGAGTGGTAGAGCGCACGCTTAGCATACACAAGGTCCAAGGTGCAATCCCCGGTACCGCCTCTAAAAATAAGTAAGTAAAACCTAATTACCTCCCCCTACTAATAAATGGAGTAATTGGTTATGCTTAATGATTTGATGGATAATTTCAATATTGTTTATATGCTTATTCAAATAGGTGCCTGGGTCCTTTTATATATTTATTTATATACATATTATATGTTATAATAAATATATATATATATTTATAATTAGATGTTATGTTTTTACATAGTTATATAAATGTTATATAATTATGAATTATATAAACTAATTTTTATATTACATATATAATAATTGTATATGTGTGTTTATGTATAATTTAAATATTGTTGACTATAGTCACTTCTAGAATTTAAGGAACCTTGGACTTTCAAAATGTGTCATCTCAGAATCTTTGTCACTATATTGTTCCTCTTTTCCCTCTATCCCCAGTGGAAGAGAAATTTACTTATTCTTTCTAAAAGTCTCATCTTCCATTATAAATGCCAATGTCCCATTTCTTACCAACTCCTGAGGGACTTAGCAATGGTTTTAAAACATGGACAGAACTTTTTCCATCTTAAGAAAAAAATTTGCTTGATTCTGTTGCCCTTTCACGCTATTTTATTTCCCTGTTTCAGTACAATTTGAGGGTTTCTGAAGACGTGTCATGCCTTGTACTTTTTACTGATTTGTTTCTTAATTTCTTGCTTCTGTGCTACCTGAACTGTATGCTCAAAGAGTACCCGTAATTTCCTTCTTACTGAACACATTGACCTTGGCTCATCTTTTGTTTATATTGATCGCTCCAGTATTTGTTGGTGTTGACATCTCTGTCATGCAGATTCTTCCGTCATTGACTTTTGTGATATTCTGCCTCTCTGACCTTACTGATGGATGCCTTGGGCAATATCCTAAGCCCCTCCTCTCTTTTTCTGTCTCTTGACTTTTCTGATAATCAGGGTTTACTATATTCTCAATGATTAATGAGAACTTTTTTGGGGAAACATGTCCCCACTCCACTCCCACCTTGCAATTCAATATGTACAAATTCACTTTCAGTTCAGTATGTGTCTTGCCTGATTAAAACTGCTTTCTTCATGGTCTGATTCAGGTGCTAACCATTCCACTTAAGTCTCTAACCACTCCAGTCCTTACTAATTTCCAGTGAATTTCTTTTTTTCTAAGACTATAATAATGTCTTGCCTATCTTATGAGTGACTAACATATCTTCCCCAATAAATTGCATACCCCCAAGCAATAGTTATTTTGTCCTGTACTACTTTGCTGTGTTCTAATACAGCGGCATTGCATGTGGTAAGGACTTCACAAGTACTCGCTGAAAATAATAATTGAATTCTCTTTCCTTTCAGATTCTTCTTTAGAACTCTTCCTTCTTATCCACAATTTGGATAGCCAAATGCTGAGAGGAGACAAAAGCCAGCAAATTATTGGACAGTTGTCATCTTTACGTAACATATACCTTATAGCATCTATTGATCACCTCAATGCTCCTCTCAGTAAGTTGAAGTATTACTATTTTTTCCTTCTTGAAATACCAGTCTTACAAAATTCACTTTCTCAATGTTGTAAGTCACAAGATTTTTATTGTTTTGCAGTACAGTTTTCCTTTGTTGCCTGTTTAAAGACATGGTTGCCAAAAATATGTGTCCTCAATCTGATTTAGAATGTAATTCTTAGAAATAAAAATTTAGATACTAAAGGGTGTGTTTTATAGCTAAAGTTTCACGAAGGAGACCCAACCATTACTTTGGTTTCCTTCTACTCTTCTCTGTGGTATTGCAAAATTTATTTTATGCATTTAATTCA